AAGGAGTGATCATGGGGGAGAGAGCATAGGGCAAAGGGGTGGGAAAGGAGTGATCATTGTGGGGGGAGAGAGCATAGGGCAAAGCGGTGGGAAAGGAGTGATGGTGGGGAAGGAGTGATCATGGGGGAGAGAGCATAAGGCAAAGGGGTGGGAAAGGAGTGATCACGGGGGGGGAGAGCATATGGCAAAGGGGTGGGAAAGGAGTGATGGTGGGGAAGGAGTGATCATGGGGGAGAGAGCATAGGGCAAAGGGGTGGGAAAGGAATGATGGGGGAGCACAGGGCAAAGGGGTGGGAAAGGAGTGATCATGGGAGGAGCATAGGGAAAAGGGGTGGGAAAGGAGTGATGGGGGAGAGCATAGGGCAAAGGGTGGGAAAGGAGTGATCATGGGGGTGGAGAGGATGGGTAATTGGGATTGGGAGGGAATCAGGGTGTGGGACCCTGGGGGTAGGGAGTGAGGGGTACAGGGGTTATAGGATGTGGAGGAGATTCTGGGGGAACTGGGTTGTGCTCTGTACGTTCAGCAATAACATCTCTAACATCCTCGGTGCAAAATTGCTGAACCGGATCAGTCTTGGGTTTACATTGCAGTAGTTGGAAATTGTTGGTTATTTCAGCATGGCCAAACCAATTATTGTTAGAAATGCATCGTTATTCTCTGCTCATGTTCCTTCCTGTAAGATGGTGGTAGAGTTAGGCCTCTGAGCCAGAGGCTCGTCTGCTCCACTTGCTTTCCTTTTTGTTTATTTTTTTATTCTCCTCTTTTTTTTCTCTTGTATTTTATTTCACTTAGCTCTCAGTGAAGAGCGCAGTCACAGTGACAGCATTGGCAGTGGCAAGTGAGCCCAGCGGCATGGACACATGGCAGTGGCATCGGAAGCGAGTGTAGGTTCCCAGCTGCTTCTGCATCATTGAGGAGGTCCTCGCACTGACTGATGGCTGCTGCTGCGGAGGAGAGCTTGCGTTCCCAGTGGTATCTGCTTACAGTGCAGATTCATGGAGACGGAGGCGAGTTTGGGCCCAGTACAGAGCTGGTGACATCAGCGCTGCACTAGCGAGGTGGGCCCGAAGTAGATTCATGATAGCGGCAGAGTTGAGTTTGGTCCAGTTTGCTACCCAATAGCATTGTTGGCACCAGTTTTGGTGAGGTCCAGCGAGGGCATCAGTGGAGGTAAGATAGTGCTGAAGAGTGATCACTTTCACCCCAATGGCGGCAGCGCGGTGAAGGGGACTTGTACCTGGCCACCAGGCCCATGGCACATGATTGAGCACTTAACAAGGAGGACTGTAAAGTCAGACATTTTCTTTACTTATTCATTTTTCTGCCTTTATATTCTATTATTTTTCTGTGTTTTAAGATGGTGCCGGAAAGTGACAACACTATTCAAAGCTTTACACTGTATTTTGAAAGAAGATACATGTAACAATAAATAAATCAAATTGAATAATCTCATTGATTGTATCATGGATATCATAAAACATATTCTTGTCATCTATAGATTGTCCTTGAAGTTCTTGTGCCATCTGTAGCAAATTGTTGCTAGAGTGCTTTTAATTTAGTGTTAATCTCATTTGACTGAGCTTCTTCTCATGTTTATTGATCATTACAGTCTCTTAACTTCACATGGCTTTATCAATCGAAGAAACTACATCCTTCAAGATACTTTCTTTCATAGTCTTCCATTTTTTCCATAGTTTTCTACACCAAACCCCAACGACGAGAGAAGCCACATATTGTTTTCACTGTAACCTAAGTTCAATATCTATTGACTCAGGTGGTTCTACTGAATTGATGCCTTCCTTAATCTAAGGCTAAAATTTCCCAATCAAATTTTCCACTATCCTATTGTACATTTTTATTTTGTTAAGCTTCCTGGAGGATTGTCTATTTAAAAAGTATATTCTAATCCACTGATTCTGACAGACAACCTGAGGTGGGGTGGACATGAAAAATCAGTAATTTAATTGGCTGAACACATTTTACAACAATGGCAGTAAGCCATCTGACAATAACAACAACAAGCCATACCACAATTATTTTCAAATAGGGCTAGTTGTATAATGGTTAACACAGAACCTACTGTTACGTTTACTTCTTGAGAAATTGATCATTTTCAATTACTTCCAGTCTGGCATGTGATTGAGACAGTGTGAACGTGAGGGATCATGGGAGGCAGATTTAGTCAAGATACTGGAAGGTTTGGCCAGTATTTTCAGCAGAACATTTTTCCTCATAACCTTATTCCATTAGCTGGTGCCGATGGCGGTTGGCAATATTTGGAAGTATCCTGGAATTGCTGCCTGACTGGAAGCATTTTACAGCTAAGTTCAAATTTATGATTAGGAATTTTTAAAACAGAAAAAAATCAAAAGTTCTTTTTCCCATTAATGAATTTAACTACTGAAAGAAGTTTTAAAATATAAGAAAAGTTATTTTCCAAAATAGTGGATAATGTAGTTTCAATAAAATTTACCAAACTTTTTAATTTTTGGGTAGAAAATTTACAATGGTCTTGTTCACTATGGGTTTCAACAAAGTCACAAAGTGCATTAATTAAAACGTTAAAACCTACTTTTACTGCAGAAGTTTTTTTCAGATTTGCACTAATCTGAACTTTGTGTCTTCTTTGTGCATTCCCTCCAGGCTTTCAATTACTTGTGGGTTTTTCTACAATTACATCAGCACAAAATATAAGCAAGATGCATTTTCTACCATCTTCACCCAGAAATGCTATCCATCCCAGCCCCTTCTTTGGGGCTCAGCATCACAGATGCCAGTGTTCAGTCAATTCAATTAGCTTGTTCTAATATGAACAAATGACTGAGGGCTCCTGGATATTGCAAAGGCCGTGGCATCTGACAATATGCAAGAAGTCTTGTGATCCAGAACTAGCCATGCACCTAGCTGGCATTGACCTGGTAGTGTGGATAATTGCCCTGGAGTATCTTGACAGCAAATCATAAAACAAATGTAATGCAGCCAATTATTACCCCTATCAGTGTACCGATCATCAGCCGATCATGGAAGGTGTCATAAACAGTGCTATGAAACTGCATTTACACAGCAATAACCTATTCACTGAAGCACAATTTGGGTTCGACCAGAGCCACTTGACTGCTGACTAAATCACAGTCCTGGTCCAAGCATCGACAAAAGAGATGAACTCCAGAGGTGAAAGTGAGTGACTGTCCTCAATATTTAGGCAGTCATTTGATAACATATGGTATCAAACAGCCTTAGCATAACTGAAGTAAATTGCAACTAGGGGAGAAAAATCTCTGATGATTGGAGTCATGCATATTATATAGGAAGTTAGTTATTGGAGGTCAAAAGTTTCAGCTTCAGGTCATTATTGCAGAGTTCGTCAGGGCAGGTATCTTCTAATCAACCTGTTCAGAAATGTTATTACACACCTCCAGAGCAGGTGGAAGTTGAGTCTGGGTCTCCTGAAGTTCTTCAGGATAGCATCCTAGGCCCAACCATTTCCACCTGCTTCATCAATGATTTTCCCTCTATTATAACTTCAGAAATTGGATGTGCAGTCATCTGTAAACAACGTTCAGCGCCTTTTGTAACTTCAGATACACACGCAATCTGTGCTCAGATGCAGCAAGACATGAACCACAACCAGGCCTGAGCTAATAGGTGAGAAATAATATTGATGCCTCACAAATGTCAAAAAATGACCAGCTTTAAAAACAGAGAATCTAATATTCCCTCTTTGATAATTCAATAGCATTATAGTCTCCGAATTCCCCACTATGACCTTACAGTTAGCAATGACCATAAACTGAACTGGACCAGCCATATAGATACCAAGGTGTAGAGCTGGATGAACACAGCAGGCCAAGCAGCATCAGAAGAGCAGGAAGGCTGACGTTTCGAGCCTAGACCCTTCTTCAGAAATGGGGGAGGGGAAGGGGGTTCTGAAATAAATAGGGAGAGAGGGGGAGGCGGATAGAAGATGGATAGAGGACAAGATAGGTGGAGAGGAGACAGACAGGTCAAAGAGACAGGGATGGAGCCAGTAAAGGTGAGTGTAGGTGGGGAGTTAGGGAGGAGATAGGTCAGTCCAGGGAGGACGGACAGGTCAAGGGGGCGGGACGAGATTAGTAGGTAGGAGATGGGGGTGTGGCTTGAGGTGGGAGGAGGGGATAGGTGGGAGGAAGGACAGGTTAGGGAGGTGGGGACAAGCTGGGCTGGTTTTGGGATGCGGTAGGGGGAGGGGAGATTTTGAAGCTTGTGAAATCCACATTTATACCATTGGGCTGCAGGGTACCCAAGCGGAATATGAGGTGCTGTTCCTGCAACCTTCAGGTGGCATCGTTGTGGCACTGCAGGAAGCCCAGGATGGACATGTCGTCTGAGGAATGGGAGGGGGAGGTGAAATGGTTCACAACTGGGAGGTGCAGTTGTTTAGTGTGAACCGAGCGTAGGTGTTCTGCAAAGCGGTCCCCAAGCCTCCGCTTGGTTTCTCCGATGTAGAGGAGGCCACAACGGGAACATCGGATACAGGATAACACGTTAGCAGATGTGCAGGTGAACATCTGCTTGATGTGGAAAGTCTTCTTGGGGCCTGGGATGGGGGTGAGGGGGCAGGTGTAGGGGCAGGTGTAGCACTTCCTGTGGTTGCAGGGAAAAATGCCGGGTGTGGTGGGGCTGGAGGGGAGTGTGGAGTGGACAAGGGATTCACGGAGAGAGTGGTCCCTCCGGAAGGCAGATAATTGTGGGGAGGGAAAAATGTCTTTGGTGGTGGGGTCGGATTGCAGATGGCGGAAGTGTCGGAGGATGATGCATTGGATCCGGAGGTTGGTGGGGTGGTATGTGAGGACAAGGTGGATTCTATTTTGGTTGTTATTGCGGGGA